TTCACTACCCAAGTTCTGTAACTGAGTAGCTGGTGCAACTGAGTGAACGAGGGGGATGTATCAGTCGTATCACCTCGTAGTAGTGTCCCATCTACTGCTGTTAACAAGAGATCTTTGAGTGCAAGATCAATCATCTCCAGCTCCCTGTTGATCAGTGTCCCTGTTGTCTCCCTCGCGAAGAATACGTTTGCAATTGAGCGATGGAAGTAGCGGATAACTGGACTTCTGATGTGGTTGCTCTTGGTCCTAGATGATGCGAACTTTTTATCATTCCCAATCGTTTCTCAAAGACCCAACAATTCATCCCTATCAATCCTTTGTCCAGTCCCTGTTTCATTAGGGAATTCAAACAAACCTTCCAGCTCTCTGATGGTCAGGACATACTCGTGATCATGGATAGTGAAGGTGATGTATCCGAATCCTCCATCTGACTCTATGTCCGGATCATCCTCATAAAGATGTATGGCAAGCGTACAGAAGAACTGAATTGTCTCCTCTCGGTCTGCGTTTCGCGGACTAGTCATGAGGGTGGTGAGATGACAATGCTCGAACATATACTCGACATCATCAGAGATAGCCAACTCATGCTGCTGAAACAGCTTGTAATACTCTTCCGGGGCTAACCACTTCTCTGCCTTCTTCTTCTGCACTGACTTGCGAGCTGGGACAGGTGGATGCTCTTCAAGCTCATAATCACTATCATCATCTTGCAGCTCCATTGGTTTCTTACCCGAAGACTTTCTGGCTCTACCTCTTGCCTGAGATGGACCAACACCAGACGCTCTGTGATATGCAGCTTTCTTCTTCTCCATATAAACCTTAGACATAGACTGAGGAGATGCACGCTATGTTGGTTTACAACCATACTTCTCACGCATTTCATGCAACAAATCTCTTGACATTGTGAAACTGAAACAGTTGAAACTCAAAGCTAAAAATTAGCTTGTTAGTGTGCCAAATATCAAGATAAAATAGCCAATTTATATAGAGTAATGCAAAGGGAAGTAACACTTAGCAAATTCATCACCTTTGCACTTCTCGGTCGAGTGAGCTATCCAAGGCATACGCGCGTCGAGTGAGAGATGAAAGTGAAGGATTGTCTACTCGAGTAGCGGGTGATGATAGACCCGTCGAGTGAGAGAGACGCACCGGTCGAGTGAGTATCCAGCTAGGTTACGCTCGTCGAGTGGACGGTGATGCAGAGACGATGGTGAAAATGATACTCGGAGGTAAGTATCGAGTGAAAGTGATGGTAACGACTGTCGAGTGGAGCACGGTGAGCTCCTAATCTAGTGAGAAGTGAGGTCTAGTCTAGGTACGCATCATCGAGGAAAATCAGCCGAGTAAGAGTGGGGATGTGAGTGACGCTGACTCTAAGCTCTTCACCGGTCGAGTGGGCTGATCCGGTCGAGTATCCACGACGGGTGAGTGAGACGAGAGATGGCGACTCGGTGGGTCGAGTGGTGGTGAGGAGCCGGCGGTCGAGTGAGGCTTGGAGCAGATGAAAGTTTCGTGAGCTTCTATCGAGTGAAGGGAAGACGATGATGGTCGAGTTGGTACGGCCGAGAGAGGGGGTGACTGAGCTTGTTCCGTCGAGTGGTGAGGAGCTCGCTTGGCCGGTGGAATCGGAGCAGACGAAAGTGAGTCGAGTAAGGGTCGAGTACGAGTGGTATGATGGTGAGGTGCGTCGAGTGAGAGAGAGTGAAAATGGTTGAATGATGAAATCGAGTGAAAAGAGTGAATCGAGTGAGAGGATTGAGAGATAGAGTATAGAATGTGTGGTCGAGTGGTTGAGATGATAGAGTGGGGTGAGGATAGGATTTGAGTGGTTGTAGATCGAGTGGGTGAGTGTTGGGTCGAGTGGGTTTTTTTTTTTTTTTTTTTTGGTTCCCCTTGAGGTGACAATCCTAAACATCTTTTGTCTCCCACTCCATATTTTTCTCTGGGTCATACTCGATTCTGCATCTGCACCTCACTCTGTTTTTAACTCTTCTGATACTCTTTGCATTACTCCATCTATCTGAAATCCTGACCAACAGAAAACCAAAAACAAAAATCAAAAACACAAAAAAATCCTAAGCAATATTTACAGGATACCTTTGGGACTTCCTCCCAAGTGAGCTTGTTTAAAGTGACTAAGCTTGACTGTTTATGCCTTTTAGGCTTTGGGAGGCTCATAGAGAGGCATGAAGGACCCCTCTGGTGTTTCTTGATCAGCTAGGTAACGCTTGACACGTTGACCGTTCACAGTAAACTCGCTGCCATCCTTGTTCAGGAGAGTGATCGCACCGAATGGCAAAACATCCTTGATTTCAAATGGTACAGACCATCTAGACTTGAGCTTTCCAGGGAACAGCTTAAGTCTGGAATTGAACAGCAAGACGTGATCTCCAGCCTTAAGCTCCTTAACAACAATCCTCTTTTCATGGAAAGCTTTGGTTCTCTCCTTGTAGATTTTTGAACTTTCAAAAGCATCAAGTCTGATTTCCTCAAGTTCATGGATGTCAAGAACTCTCTTTGCCTGGGCTGCATCAATGTCCAAGTTCAGAAGCTTGATAGCCCAAAGCGCCTTATACTCAATCTCCACAGGGAGATGACATGCTTTACCATACACAAGCTGAAAAGGTGTCCTTCCTATTGGTGTCTTGAAAGCTGTCTTGTATGCCCATAGAGTATCATCCAACTTGGTAGACCAATCTTTCTTCGAAGCCCCAACAACTCTTGACAAGATTCTTTTTATCTGATTGTTGGAGACTTCAACTTGTCCACATGTCTGGGGATGGTAGGGTGTAGACACCTTATGCTTCACACCATACTTCTTCAACATGCTTTAAAAAACTTTGTTGATGAAGTGTGTACCACCATCACTGATCACTGCTCTTGGTACTCCATACCTGGGAAAGATGATGCTCTTGAACAGTTTCAGAACAACCTTGTGATCATTGGTGGGGCTTGCAATGGCTTCAACCCATTTTGAAACATAATCACTTACAACCAGAATGTAGACGTTGCCATTTGATGGAGGGTTGAACGGTCCCATGAAATCAATTCCCCAAACATCAAAAATTTATACTTCCAAAATCGGGTTCTGAGGCATCTCATTCCTTCTGTTGATGTTACCCATCCTCTGGCATGTGTCACACTTGGTGATGAAACTGTTTGTATCCTTGAACAACGTTTGCCACCAAAGGCCTGCTTGTAGAACCTTCTGAACTGTCTTGAATGTAGCGAAGTGTCCTCCATATGCGGATCCATGACAGTGCTCAAGCACTCCCTGCACTTCTCCTTCTGCTATGCATCTCCTAAACAGCCCATCTGAACATCTCTTGTACAAGTAAGGTTCATCCCGGAAGTAGTGGTTGACATCTCTGAAAAACTTCTTTTTCCTATAAGGATCCATGTC